CGTTCATTGACACCGCAGAATGCGCGATATCATCGAATGTTTGATTGATCCGGTTCCCGGTGACACTTGCAGTCATTAGTAATGTACGATCGGTCAGAGCCGCCAACGACTGCAGTACAATCATTGTTGTCAACGAGAGCGATAACGAACAACACTCGTACTGAAGAGAGGAAGAGGAATAGGAGCTCTGCTGACTAACGGTCGGTCTTGTCGTCCGTTAGAAGCTAGGTATGCGGTGAGAGTGGCTCAGGTCAACCAAGAGGTACTGTCTGATCGCGAAGCCAATGACCTTGTATGTGTTGCCGTCGCTCTGCGTCCAGTTGACCACAGGCGGGTGTTCGTTCACTCGCTCGTCCGCCCCCTCTTTCTGAACGGAACTGTGCGACTGACGATGACTGGACGGATAACCTGAGGTATCGAGCGGGCGATCGAGCGAGGTAAGCAGTAGTAAATAGTCGGTTGTCAATCCCTCACACGTCACAGCCAACAACTCGGTACACAAGGCAGCACTCGGCTGGCAACGTCAGCGCCTTGTGAAAGTTCCAGCAGGACACGACTACGGTTTTTACAGGCACTTCTGAACAAACAAACACTAGTATCATGAAGTAGACATGCGCCGAGCGTGTGCGTTATAGATGCTGGAGCCGAGTCGCTCTTCTTCGACTGTCGTCGTCGTCGTCGTCGTCGTCTTTCCACTGTCGCTCATGCATCTTTTTAAAAGATTCGCTTCTGCGACGAGGGTGCCTACCGACCGGACGTCAGATCTAACGACCAATCGCAAACAACGCTATGTTTTCGTTCTGTCCAGCTCAGTGATGCGGTTTTGTACCTGTGCACCGTCGGTGTTACAATACCAGGCCGTGTCCTCTTTGAAGGTTGTATGACACGTGTTAAACCGACGAAGAGGCGATTTGCAATCATGTCCTCCTCTGTGGGCCACGTCACCACCGAGTGACCGACCGAGTGACCGATTGAATGACCGACGGACGGCTAGCCTAGCCGTAACGAGTGTCTGTGATCAGCGACTATTTTTGTGACTCATTACCACCCGGCGGCGACGGCGGATCAGGTGCGCCGCTGCCGCCTGGAACTGAACAACGGCAGGACGTTCGCACCAGCTCATACATGTGTCTGTCTGTGGTCGAGCGGCGAGCCGTCCTACAGCCGCTGCCTCTGCCGCACAGCCGATTCCTCTAACTTCCTTCTCTCGCTCTTTTTCGTTAGTCCTGTTCGAATAACTACTCGGCAGGCCGTGCGATCACTCCACCTTGTTTTTGAACCATTTTCGCAATTCTTCAAGTTCCAGTTTCGTCGCGGCCGCCGTCATCAGCGCCGCCACACGCTCGCTCCTACTCCTCGACCACTCAGCGTCAGGTAGCGCCCAAACCGAGTTGCCGCGTGGTCGGGATGTGATGCCTCTGCCAGGTGCTGGCCGGCTGTTCGTTTGCTACCTGATGCTTGTGGGCTCCGCAGCTTCCGGCTATTCGATTGTTTCCTGTGTACCCAGTGTCAGGCCCTCATGTCATACCATTCAGTAGGCGACCACAGGCCAAGTGGCCATAATCCGGTCTTCGAGGTGAGCGGCAAGAAGAAAGTAAGGAATATCACTAGGCATGAATGTGTGCATTATTTTCATTTACTGATCTACGTCATCCAAAGCATTTCTCTCCTCATCAACCCACGTTCTTCCAAAGAAATGACATACTCGTTAGCATGCTTCTCTACTTGGCATTAAAACGTGAGGACGGACCGAAACAGTGAAAGGCGGGCGTGGTTTTTCCATGTGCTATCTTAAGTTTCATGACCAAACAGTGGTAACCTTTCGTGATGATTTTTCGCAGGAAGGACTGTAAATTGGAACGTATTAGATGAGTGATGAAAAGTAAGGGAGGTGACCCACACGCAGAGAGTTTCTCTTTCATTGTTCGTTTTCATGTTACTCTTGCCAAGGCGAAGAATGCATCATAGAGTGTGCAGATTATTCAGTTCAAAGCAGTGCAGGTAGGTAACGAAGAAGGAAGCAGGTAAACGACCAGAACATAAGCGATGATGGAGTGATGGTAAGTACGTGTGTAATGTATTTTCCGAGTTTCATGTTCATCGTTCCTCATTTGCTGACTCAGCACCGAAATTAACAGTATTACATTTCCTTAATTAGTTCTGTGTCGGAATGAATGTAGACTGGAGCATAGAAAATGACAGTCAATAGGTAAGAGGGTGAGTGACAGTTCGTTTCCGATTCTTGGCCAATTGCTGCAGCTGCAATGGCTTTGAATGAATCAAACTGAACGATGTATCCTTGTGTTTGTTCAGGATACCAAACAAAGCTGATGCCAAGGTTTCTATTGTCGACGAGTTTCGCGATCACACTTGTGCCTCGATGATGCCATCGGCATATTAGCGAAACGAGTAGGCAATGAAAGCTTCGAGGTCAGCTTTTCTTGTTGTCCTAAATCATGCATCATCCTATCCATTTACATAGCGAGATAAAATCAGTTGACGGTTATGAGTCCTTATCTGTCATCTTTGACTTTTGCTCTTCTGGTGTCATGAAGCGAACCTCAGTGTGGCGTGACAAAAGCCAAAGCAGTGGTAGAGTGTTGGTAGTAATGTTGCGTCATTCGCGTCGGAGTTTAATCACTATCGTTCGAGTGTAGTGTTACATTTCCGTAATTAGTACTACGCTGGAATAAAAAAAAGATCAGACAATAGGAGACGAATGATGTGAGTTAAATCACGTATAATCATTAGCCGATTTGCAGAGTGTTTTTCATCGCTCGTCTTTACGCGTCTTTCGGTCGAGTATGTTTCACCTCACGCTGAGGTAAGCAACTGCGAAAATCGCAGATTAATTACCGTAAACAAGGCGGTGGTGGAATTGATGGTCAGAGTGTGTTTTATTTACGGAGTGGATTTCGTAGCTAACATTGCTTCATTACTTCTTCAGCACTGTGGAACACTACCGTAAATACCACAACGACGGAACGACTACAGGTTAAGCAGAGGAGGAGATGAATGGCAAGGGGGAAGAGAGATGTGAGAGGGGGACAATGTGCAGCACTTTGTGCCATCATCGCTTTTCTTCACGTTTCTGGCGCAGGGGCGAAGTGGATTATTATTCGTTAGCTGTCTGTGTGAATTATTTGGCTCATTGTATGATAAGCAAAGACGGAGAGGACGCTGCTAAATAACCAGACCCAGTGCAATGGATGAATGAAAAAAACTCGTATAGCAGAAGAATGTCTATCTATTCTTACGATATTGGCTCAACAGCTCATTCGTTTCAGATAGCGTTTGAGGCCACCCTCTCCGGTAGAGTTATAAGTTATAAGTTACAAAAATTTTTTGCTGTGGTACCTTTGTAAAAGGTCACCTATGAACTCAAGACAGAGTTCGAATTCCGAAAGGGAACTAATGTTTCCAAACTGCTAACTCCACTGAGTAAGGACTTGCTACGTGTTCCTTGACTGGAACTTTCAGTTAGCGCTTTGCTGCTCCAGTGGCGCGGTGGCAAATATATCGATTTTGAACTTCGAAGGAGGGGATTTGAATCTGGCAAAAAGGCGGTTTTTGTCTTAACGACAAATTCCCTTGAGCGAGGAATTTACTTTACGTTGTTTCGGTGCAATCCGCCCAGAAATTGGTATACTCGTTAAGAACAGCTGTTCTAATATGGCCATACAAGAATGGAAATGCAACTAGCGGGGCTCACTCGATAGCTGACTATCGATAGTGATAATAGCGCAAGGTAAACCCTTGTTGTTTTTTGTTAGAAATGCGTTGAAAGAGCGAAGAAAAAGTAGCAAAAAGTATTTGGAGTCTCACTTGTATTATATCTGCTATTCGTGGATTCATAGTCATAATTTTATCCTCTTCAGTTTCATATTCGCCCTGTTCTGTGTATTGTCCTTTCTGACTAGTCTCTCGTCATACTCTTATCATTTAAGACTGTATCATTCCTTCCATCGTAGTTTTCTCACGAAGAAAGTTCATTTTTTCGCTTTTCAGAAAACTAGTATATAGTGGGTAAAAGTGAGACGAAACAGTATAAACGGAGAACACATTGTCTTATCTTCCGTAACGCCGAGTTATTACTGCTTCGCCTTTTCGTTTTCAACGCAGCAACGTATAGAGCGTTGTAGTTTTACGAACAACGATCACCATAAGCATCGCTAGTTTCCATAGGGTCGAGACATGTTCGTTTCGTAGTTGACGCATAAAATATGTAAATGTATATTTTCCTCACTACGCATAGACTGAAGTCCTCAAAATCTTTTCTGACAACGTTCAGCGACTGTTCTGCTTCTGATCGGTGTCAGGGAGCCGCATCTCCCTGCCCGCGTTATGTCGCGATTCGTCGTGTCAGCTGTTCTCGGCTCTTTTCTGAAAATTGACGTTGACCACTCACCTACTTTTAGGCCGGCCATTGTCCAGCTCATCGCTTCTCCTCTCGAGTGAGTCGCCTGCCTACCAGCAACTGAGACGACGCGATCAGAAATGTCTTCGTCAATGGACTACACACGCATGGTGTTCGTGACTGGCAACGTCGAGTTCCTGATCGAGGAGGTAAGCGGAGCGTCCCGCTGGCTTGTCGGTCGCTACCCACTCACCCAATCACCCGGTTTCAGCCCGCAAGGCTTACTGCCTGGTCAGAGGCGGTCGCCAAAGAGGTCTGTGAGCAAAAGCCGATGTTCGCTGCCGTACACCTGCAAGGACTGGGCAAACAGGGTCGAACGAATGAGTTTCTGGAACGCCTTACTAAGTAAGTACTCAAATACTTTTGTCACTTGCACCTGCTATCTCAGTGCGTTCTCTATCAGCCGCCAGATTCGTTGTGGCGGCCGTTTCGAATGCATGAGCGAGAAATTTAACGTTATGTATGTGTAATCTATCCTTAAGTTCTGACAGCACTCGGCTATGCCCTCAGCGTCGATTAGTTTCTGGAAGAATAACCGCTTGCTAATCATTTACTAACAGTGCTATACTTGTTCCCAACAAATATCTCTGTTAATATTTCCCATTTTCGCGGCGTTAACCGTTTCTGCCGTTGCCTGAGTTTAGACCAACGAATGACGTAATGCCGAGGTTTTGACACTAGCTTAGTCGCCTCGGAGTTTCTCCAGAAAGAAGCCAGCCACGTCAGCACTTTTCAGCTCCGTCTGAGGTTGAAGTACTTGGAGTAAAAAGCGGTCACCGCCGTTGTGCTGCAAAGGTACAGTGTTAAACGATTATTTTTTTCGGCAATTTAAACTTTCTGCTAAGTTTATCGATGATCGTGTCGTCAGACTTATGCGATCTGTAATGGATGTTCGCGTTGAGAGAGACGCAGAGCTATCAACCGATCACCACCTCGTTGTTGGCACAACTGCGCTGTAAGAAATGGAGTACCATACCAAGCCGAAACTTCCAAGTAACACCGTATGACGGCTGACGTGGAAACGAAGTGGAATCTCTTTAACGGTGGCTCACTTGGCACTTCTGCTGAATGGTACAGTTTAAAATTGATTGGCCTGCCGCCTGAGGGTCAGAAACAACTGCCATATGGACATCGGAGTTTCAACCGATTCTTAGCAAGAGGAAGGCTGTATTCAAGAGATGACTTGGAAGCAAAGAGTCTTCAACTCGAATACGGTATGTAGGAGCGCGCAGAGTGACGTCTGAAGCTCATTCCTTGAAAAAATGGAGTTGAATTTTTTTACAGAAAAGAGGGTATTCTCACCGAGTTTTTTCCGCCTGGATGATGGAAAGAAGGAAAATCTAAGAGTCTTGAAGGACGTGGCCGGACACTTTCGTGTCAGGGAAGGTGATATACTTCGGCGATGGCGAGAGTACTTTGAGAAATTCCTCTTCCCAGAGCAACTGCAGGAAGGCTCGCGTGAAGAGCAGTCGGCAAAGGATATTAGTTCTTCAGTAGATGAAGTCACAGAAGCTGTTAAAAACTCGAAAAGTGTTAAGAATGTTGGAATCGAGGAAATCCTCTCTAAGGTGCTTAGAACTTTAGGTGAACAAAATATGTCACACTGCAGTGACTACCGGACAGACACAGGTGGACTGCAAAACTGAAATGGTACTACTTCTATTCAAGAAGGGAGGCCATAGGGAATGCTCAAATTATCAGGGCATTAAAAGAAAGTATACGCCAAAGTGATGGAAAAGAAGTTCCGCGGGATAGCTGACTCTAATATCCAAGTGCAGTACGATAGCAGGTCAGGCAGAAGTACCAGAATGCAGTACAATTGCTTTGGTAAAATCGAAATGGTTCGGGCACGCATTTCGAATGCTTCCAGACACGGAGGCAAAACAGCTGCTACTTACTCAGCTGACTGGCCGAAAACCCGACTGACTGATTGATCGATTGACTGATTGATTGATTGATTGATTGGCTGACTGACTTAGTCTATTCGCCCGGCCGTCTACAAATCTTTAGTATTCAAGAACACGCTTGGACTCACTGATCAAATCTTCAATGATGAAACGTTCCTCCTTCCCGCCATTGCTTTTAGGTCGCTAATGCAGTAGGCATTTCCGTTGGCCTTGGTCTGACACGGAAAGGGCAAACTGAATGGTTTGGATTCTGAAACGCGATAATGCTAGGTCTTCTGCGCAGTTGAACACGTTGGTTCGCCGTCTGGTCGTGGGCCGTCTTTCACGTAACTTTGCCTACAGAGTTTGCCAGAGTGCCGGAGAGCGTCTTTTCTAGCATTCTCATGGCATGATGAAACTAGCGCGACAGAAAACTGCTGTTTGCGATCGAGGGTATCTTGAAATGTGGTGTTCCGCAATTTGTTGAGTCTTCTCCCACCAGCAATCGTTCGAAAAACCTCATTTTTTGCCGCTTGTATTCGCGATCGCACTCTTTGACTCGATCGCCGGCACTCGTGTTGACTATGTGAGTTGAAAGTAGCTGAGCGTGTGAACTTTAAGACAGATAATTTCGATAGTTTCGATAACTCCTTCTTCATCATCGCACATCGTTTGCTCCCGTCTTAGAGGGTTCGTCCGTCCAATGCGTACGTTGGTTTCGACAATCTCCTTACCCGGTTGGAACGCTAGCCTGCAAACGGAGCATTCGACCTTGGCGCAGTGTAAAGTACAAGACGTCGATCTCGGAGACGTTGTGCTGGTTTTTGCGACCCGCTAACGATACAACGAGACTGACGCCTGGTCATCGTCGACATTTGAGTCACTGTAGTAGCGGATCGACACGTTTCGCTGATTCTCGGTGAACTGCGAGATGGGGATCGCCAAAATTGATGCCTTTTTCACCGAGTTATGACGGTTCTGGCCACGTGACACCTGTCCATTCACCGGAGCGCGAAACGGCCTGGTTGTAGCGCCGGACGCGGCTAGTGTAGTCGTTTGAGAAGCAATCGCTGGC